AATTTCCAAGATTAGGCATACTATCGAAATACGGTACTTGTTCCACATCAGCCCCCCCTGGCCCTTTTCACCCCTTTTTTTACCCCTATCCACCTATGGGAATTTGTGCATGGGGCTCAAAAACAATTAAACCTCTCAACCACTAATTACCCAACAAAAGGGTGAAATTTGAATAAACAAATTCTCACTACAGGAAACACTCCACCAATTTCAAAACACTCAACCTACTACATACAAAACTCATACTTTTTATTGCACCTATTAATCATAGAACACTTAACTCTGATATTAACCCTCCCCTCAAACATCTCCTTGCCAAACCCCAACAGACAATGACCATAACAAAAGGCAAGATCACTCTTTGATGTTCCTTGTCCATCTCACCCCCTATGAAAAACCAATGCCATAAAAGGCCCTTAAATCTGGGAAATTTATTACCTTAAAAATAAAAGAAACCATGTTTTTTATAAATTCAAGTCTCTTCTCAAAAACACTTACTCACTCAAAAACCAAAAAAATACTAATAACTGAACCTTTATAAATGTATTCCCATTTTTACTCCAATTATATCACACAAATGTTAAAACCTAGGACCCCCAAATTAAATTTATTATTTTTTTTTTAAAAAACTACCTAACGAATACACCCCTTCGCTGAATGTACAGCAATGAAGCAACCATATGACCTTCTTTGTAATCTCATTTGTGCTTTATAGTTATCTGTTTAAATAATGTTTTTTTCACTGTTTCACATTGCTTTAGTTAATTTAAATTAATTTTAAGCCCCCCGTAATGCTATGCATATAAGTGGCTTTGGCATGCTGCTCTTACCTGTATTTTTTGTACCTCTGTATGTATGCTTAAATTACTAAATAAATAAATAAATAAATAAAAAAATGTCATAATGTATGTGAGGATAAGTGATGGAAGTGTTGTTGTTGGGTTTATAATGGCCACTGGTGGTGGAGGCTTCTGCCACCACCACTATCCACAAACAATATATGAATGTAATTTATAAATAAGAGATATTTACATTTTAATTTATAAATGAGAAATATTTACATTTTAATTTATAAATAAGAAATATTTGCACTTACCTTGGAGATGTTAGTTTAATTATGTAGTTAGTTTGATGGAGTGTAGCAGGCATGCAGGGAGTGTAGCAGGCATGTAGGAGGCGAGAGGAAGGCGAGTTCATTATGCTTTGATATGACGCTAATATCATCACTACTGCTTATTTATCTATCACAATTCATCTAATATGGCATAATAAACAATATTGGCAGTTTGGAGGGATATGTTGTGTATCTTTATATGTGTATGCTTCTAGACTGTTGTATTCTGAGCACCTCTGCAAAAACAGTGATAATGTGCGAGTGTGGTGAAAGTGTTGAATGATGATGAAAGTATTTTCTTTTTGGGGATTTTCTTTCTTTTTTGGGTCACCCTGCCTCGGTGGGAGACGGCCGACTTGTTGAAAAAAAAAAAAAAAAATTAGTAACATACTATACTAACATGATATATACTCTAGAATGAATAAAATATGTCATAATGTATGTGAGGATAAGTGATGGAAGTGTTGTTGTTGAGTTTATAATGGCCACTGGTGGTGGAGGCTTCTGCCACCACCACTATCCACAAACAATATATGAACGTAATTTATAAATAAGTAAGTTTATTCAGGTATACACAAATACAGTTACATACATAGATTATCATACATAGCAGCATATGTGTAAAGTACATAGGATAACCCAAGAAAGTCAGAGTGACTTATGTATTTCCATTGGGGTCCTTTCATATTTTTTTTTTTTCAACAAGTCGGCCGTCTCCCACCGAGGCAGGGTGACCCAAATAAGAAAGAAAATCCCCTAAAAGAAAATACTTTCATCATCATTCAACACTTTCACCACACTCACACATTATCACTGCTTTTGCAGAGGTGCTCAGAATACAACAGCTTAGAAGCATATACGAATAAAGATACACAACATATCCCTCCAAACTGCCAATATCCCAAACCCCTCCTTTAAAGTGCAGGCATTGTACTTCCCATTTCCAGGACTCAAGTCCGACTATATGAACATAACCGGTTTCCCTGAATCCCTTCATTAAATATTACCCTGCTCACACTCCAACAGATCGTCAGGTCCCAAGTATCATTCGCCTCCATTCACTCCTATCTAACACGCTCATGCACGCTTGCTGGAAGTCCAAGCCCCTAGCCCACAAAACCTCCTTTACCCCCTTTCCAACCCTTTCGAGGACGACCCCTACCCCTCCTTCCTTCCCCTACATATTTATATGCTTTCCATGTCATTCTACTTTGATCCATTCTCTCTAAATGACCAAACCACCTCAACCCCTCTTCTGCCCTCTGACTAATGCTTTTATTAACTCCACACCTTCTCCTAATTTCCAAACTCCGAATTTTCTGCATAATATTTACACCACACATTGCCCTTAGACAGGACATCTCCACTGCCTCCAACCGTCTCCTCACTGCTGCATTTACCACCCAAGCTTCACATCCATATAAGAGTGTTGATACTACTATACTTTCATACATTCCCTTCTTTGCCTCCATAGATAACGTTTTTTGACTCCACATATACCTCAACGCACCACTCACCTTTTTTCCCTCATCAATTCTATGATTAACCTCATCCTTCATAAATCCATCCGCCGACACGTCAACTCCCAAGTATCTGAAAACATTCACTTCTTCCATACTCCTCCTCCCCAATTTGATATCCAATTTTTCTTTATCTAAATCATTTGATACACTCATCACCTTACTCTTTTCTATGTTCACTTTCAACTTTCTACCTTTACACACGTTCTCAAACTCATCCACTAACCTTTGCAATTTTTCTTTAGAATCTCTCATAAGCACAGTATCATCAGCAAAAAGTAACTGTGTCAATTCCCATTATATTATATTCCTTTTATATTTACACTTACCTTGGAAGAGAGTTTAATTAGTTTGATGGAGGAGATGCTGGCAGAAGTTTAGAGTGGTGGAAGATACAGAGCAGGCCGGCACATGTTCTGCGGCCAAATACACGTACAACAACATTGGAGAGCTACTTTCGTGTCGTTTTTCTATCGCTTACTCGCTTAACTTACTTGCTACACTTAATTCTACACTTTATTGCTGGCTGGCACTATAGCCTTTATCGATACCTGCTGCCTTAGTATCGTACATACCATAGAATTACTGCAGAAGGCGCATTCACCCATCTCTCTTCCTCCTCCACTTTGGTACTTTGCTATGAGTTTTTTCTTGAATTTTATTGTTTCTTTATCACAGGGCTGGCACTAAAAACTTTCTTTGGGCCCATGGTAGCTTATTTAGCAGTTACAAGCACTAAAAACAATGGAATAATACAAAATATATCGCATGTACGCGTGAAATCGTCCTCCCTGGCTTGTAAACAATGGCACACTACCTTGTACATGGGCTCAGGCCGCACGGACACGTTAGGGACGAATGTCCTTAGCTGAATTTTTCATCATTGGGTGAGCCAATATTTTTACACAAAAATGCATCGGTATCCGATTTTATCGCTATCCGATGGCATTGTTGCCCGAGGGTCCACTGTACTACTATTTTTTTTTTAACACATCGGCCGTTTCCACTGAGGCAGGGTGACCCAAAAAGAAAGACAGAAAGAAAAAAAAAACTTTCATTATTCAATACCTTAACCATCATTCATACATAATCACTATCTTTGCAGAGGCACTCAGATACGATAGTTTAGATGTCCCTCCAAACAGCCAATATCCCAAACCCCTCCTTCAAAGTGCAGGCATTGTACTTCCCACCTCCAGGACTCCAAGTCCGGCTAACTGGTTTCCCTGAATCCCTTCACAAAATATTACGCTGCTCACACTCCAACAGCTCGTCAGGTCCCAAAAACCATTTGTCTCAATTCACTTCTATCAAACATGCTCAGGCATATTATTATTATTATTATTGCTATGGCCACCCTATTATAATATTTATGAGAAGAGCTAAATCCATAAGTTATGCAATGCTTATGGAAAATGAGAGGTAATGCAGTTTTACAAAATTGGATCCTATTCCTTGGATCAAGAGCCTTTCACCAATATCAAGGCACATTCACTCGAAGGGAGGGAGATCAAAAACAAGTTAATCTTATTTCAGCCAAATAAATAGAAAATTAAGCAACAGATAAATTATCGTTGAAAACTTCATCATTTTTAGTGCCCTATTTCAGACACTGTGCTGCAATGACAAATGGAAATTTGTTTTATTTTCAATCTTCTACTTTACTCACTAATGCATTTAAACACCAAGTTCTTTGTTTAACAGCTGTGAACCATATGGTGGCCAATTGTTAAAGTGCAATAGTGGTTTTCTGGTGAGTGCCAGTCTTTTCAGGGGACTGAACAAGACTGCCGGGTAACATTAGAAGCCGAATAACCTATTAACTACTAGATCTACCTTCACACTTGCCTAAGTCAAATCTGCTTTCTCCATGAGTTAACTACATCTCAGTTGTCATTCCCAACAACTACTGTACTTTAGGTTTCTTAATTTATCAGGTTTGGCAGGGTGACCCAAAAAAGAAAGAAAATCCCCAAAAAGAAAATACTTTCATCAATATTCAACACTTTCACCACAATCACACATTATCACTGCTTTTGCAGAGGTGCTCAGAATACAACAGTTTTGAAGCATATACGTATAAAGATACACAACATATCCCTCCAAACTGCCAATATCCCAAACCCTTAATTTAAAGTGCAGGCATTGTACTTCCCATTTCCAGGACTCAAGTCCGACTATATGAAAATAACCGGTTTCCCTGAATCCCTTCACTAAATATTACCCTGCTCACACTCCAACAGATCGTCAGGTCCCAAGTGCCATTCGTCTCCATTCACTCCTATCTAACACGCTCACGCACGCTTGCTGGAAGTCCAAGCCCCTAGTATGTAATACTAAATGGAAACTACTTAAGCAAATTGCACCTTCCACTGTCCATCAAAAAATTGTGGTGATTCAGGAGGGTCATAGTCCAATTCCACACTAGCTGCCCAAGAGTCATATGAATCAGGCATATAATAGAAGTGGAACAGTGTCTGTCGGTCACGGCGCATTACTGCACGTGCAAACTCATCTTCAAGTGGGTCTTGCTCATCGTAAACAATGTGAGATGCTTCTTCTTCCTCATCTGTTAAAGAAGGATTAATATTATTAAATGCACAACACAAAATATAAAACAAGACTACAGTAAATTTGTATATTAAATTTTGAGTTTCAACTAGAAAATAGTATAATAATTCAGACTAAGAAAAAAATTGTGACAAGACATAAAATTAATTTAAAAGAAAACTAATTATACATAGAGTTCATGTTTTGAAAATTATATAAGTACTGTAAATAAATGAAAACATGAAAATAATTTCCTATATTGTACTCAAAAGAGGATGTTGAGCACAGTACTTTTAAATTTTTTCTGCAGCCTTCCCTCCTGTCAACTTCCTATTACAGTACTTGCAGATAATCAAGCAGTTTTATAAAATTTTTGGAGCCTGGCCCAATTTTAAGGGTACTTAATTCCCTATGCTGTTATCAGCTAATACCTTAACATTTACCTAGTTTAGCTTGCTTATAATGGTCTATATATGCATGCACGTATGTACTCACCTAATTGTGGTTGCAGGGGTCGAGACTCAGCTCCTGGCCCCGCCTACATGCATGTATGCATGCATGCATGTATGCATACATGTATGTATGCATGTATGCATACATGTATGTATGCATGTATGCATACATGTATGTATGCATGTATGCATGCATGTATGCATGCATACATGCATGCATATATGCATGCATGCATGTATATATACATGCATGCATGTATATATGCATGCATGTATATATATTTATTTTTCTTTTTCTTTTTCCAGCAAGTCAGCCATCTCCCACCTAGGCAGGGTGACTCAAAAAGAAAGAAAATTCCCAAAACAAAAATACTTTCAACATCATTCAACACTTTCACCTCACTCATACATAATCACTCTTTTTGCAGAGGCACCCAGATACAACAGTTTAGAAGCATATATAAAGATATAATATAAAAAGTGAACTGAAATAATATGATAAACTAAACCATATAGAATACAAGATCAGGGCCCCAATTATATATACAGGTCTCCCTCAACATTCGTGTTTTCAACTTTCGCGGGCTTCACACATTCACGAATTCCTAACCGCCAAATTCCCAGGCACCAAATCATATTTAAGTTTCCCGCCACCCGCAAGTCCCTACTACCCTCCCTCTGAGCCCCTCAACTGGCAGCCAGCCCTCCCGCCACTCAGCGTGGTGAGTGTTTTGTTTGTTCATTATTTGCTATTAAACTACAGTATAAATAATGTCAACCCATTCATGACTGCATATTGGAATGGCCATTCGGACAGGTATTAAACATTGACATCGTACGTTTACTCTTGAACACGGCAAAGAATCAAACATTTCTGCTACTGCTAATATTATTATTAATAATAATAATAATAATAATAATAATAAAAATAATAATAATAATAATAATAATAATAATAATAATAATAATAATAATAATAATAATAATAATAATAATACTATGGAACTGAAGAAGGAAATTATACAAAAATACAAGAGTTGAAGCAGTGGTGAATGAAGTGGTTGAGGCATCATCAGTCAGTGTGGCTTTGTTTATGCTGGAGTGAGCATTAGTCTCTGTGCTCTTCCAAACATTTCACAATAATTCATTGTTTGGTGCTTGTAGATTGAATGCAACTGCAGTGGTTGAGGCAGTGGTAGAGGCAGTGGTTGAGGCAGTGGTTGTGGCAATGGTTGAGGCAGTGGTAGAGGCAGTGGTAGAGGCAGTGGTTGAGGCAGTGGGTGAGGCAATGGTTGAGGCAGTGGGTGAGGCAGCAGTTGTGGCAGTGGTATTTAATAACATCTATGTTATTAATAATAATAATACATATTATTATGGTGAGAGAGTGCAAAAGGAGAGCAGATGAAAGAGTGGGAGAGGCACTGTCAAGAAATTTTAATGAAAATAAGAAAAATTTTTGG